CAATTTACTCTGAGCAGCTAATCGGATGCTACGGATCTAGCTTCAGTATCTACACACATAGACAGTGAGGTCCCTCTTGGCCAATCGGAGGCCAGGATGATGCTCGGTAAGCCAATGGCAGAGCAGCTATGAGTATGTTGAGTCCAGGAAACTCGCAGCTGTGACCGAAATAAACATCGTTCACTATGTAAATCAGTGTGGTGGTTGCTGTTAGCTTTTTTCGAACGAAGCAGTAGAGGTCGCTGTTGGATAAGACTTCGTTGTAGTGAATGTCTTCGCGAGGCTGGAGCAGATAAAATTATTTCGTATAACGCAACAGGGGGCTTTTCGTCGTATGGGGGGCAGGAGAATGGGAATTATGTTAATGCATGAAGATTTTTTCACATAAGGGGGTATTTTCGCCCATGTAGGTTTCGTTCTAGAGGAGTTTCACTGTACAAGGTATTGTTAGAAGTTTATTTAGCTTTTCATACAGATCTGTATACAGATTCACTTCACCCACCCCGAGGCCGTGACTGACCTGGCAGCAGACGAATTCTCCAGTATATTTGCACACACTGCTCCTCTTTGCGAAAGCCTCGGTGGCACTTGCAAGCCAACAAAGAGGGTTGTTTGGTAAGCAGGGCATGCTGTATCTGCAGACAGTCAGTCACTGCCCACTCCCCAATTGTCGACAGAGAAGCCTCATCTGTACATAGTTCTAGCCCTTGGTATAACTCTTCGCAATTGTGGTCAGCAGAACATACACGGTGGGCTTCAACGCAGTCAGTTGGGAAGGCAGGTATAGTGAAGTTGGGAACTGAGAATGGGAACACACCTAAGAGACATTGAAAAGGGTCAATTCCTTATTAAACGTAGTGATGTGAATCGACAACACTCTGAATTATCAACTGAATTACCATATTTTCCGCACTGAAAGGCGCACCTAAAAGCCTTCCATTTTCTTAAAAGCTGTCAGAGTTTTTCTCGGACAAAGTTAAAGAAATGACACGGCACACAGGGAAAATTATCTTCATTAACGGCGGGAGGGATCTCTGAGGGCGAACGACGGTTGTTGCCCCGATAATCACGCTCAGAGTTCCCTGTCCGCCAGTTTGAACTTTTATTGTTACAAATGCAAAATACAAGAAAAACACTGCCCCCAATATTTGCATACCTCGCCCCCGGTCCGGCCCCTCGATAGTGATTGGTAACCTTGGTTGAAGCTTTGAACCACCGGTACGTTGACGCCTTTCTGTCTGGTCTACAATGAATCAACAAGTTGCAGACTTTGCAGACGACAAATGTCGCCTGGGTGTGACGGGTGTTCTCAAATCGTCTTTTGTTGTTCAACAACGCTTTGTTCCCGAATTGTTCATTCCCACTTTGTGACCGAGTTTTTGACACTGTTGCTGTGGTAAGGTATTGTTGGCAAACAATAATTACGCGGATTTTGATGGTCTTAACATTTGTGAAAACATGAAATTTACCACGCATCTTGGTAGGCCAAATAATCATTATTTTATGAGTTAATTTTACGGTTGAAAAAACAATGGCTTTGTTGCACCCAATACAATTCTTTTTCAACATCACCTCCCCGGTTGGACAACAGCTCAAGACCTAGAAAAAGTCTCTGGAGCCCTACTCCAAATTCAAAAGGAAGTTGGCCATTTTCTTTCAGTCTTCTCTTGACCAAGGTTCCCTCTATTTTTCAATGCGTCTGAGCATTCACACAAACTCCCTGAACATTCCTTGGACCACACACACACAATTCTTAATTCTTCATAATTCTAAACATTGATTTTTGCTTAGGTTTGTTCCTGTTTGCATGATGAGTATGTTGAGCAAGACTGGTATACCACTTGATATGCTATGACAAACAATGACCATTCAGCCATGTTGTTTGCTTGGTATGGTGTGAAACTAGTGATTTTTATTGACATTGGCAGTAAGAATTAAAAGTTCTTTACTCACGACAGATTCTTTAAGATTTTGTGTTTGGATCAATTGTAAATGTATTATTTATATTTGCATTTTATATGAATGAACTGTGGCAGAGTATACATGGATCTAAACATATTCCATTCATGTGAAAATGGCAAGAGAGTCAGACATCAAAATTTTCCCTTAGATGTGGATTTGGCCATGGCCATCCCTGGCCTAGCCTCTAAAAGCCAGCATGTCATCACAACTTGTCATCATACTAATTTGAATCAAGCTTTCAGTACAACCATGTGATCAGAAACTTTTGCAGTTCAATTGTAATTGTTTGTGTTCCAACCCTAGCCACAGGCTGGTTGCCTAACTATGTGTGGTTTGTGTTTGTCTAAGTGCTCAGCTTGCAAACGTCACATGAGCAAATCCAGAAAGCAGGTGAGCCGTAAAAGCCATTACTTGAGGCCTTAGGCACTGTGATGTCATTTTGAGTCGACAGCATGCGGCAGTACAAGGCAAAATGGTCACCCAATGAGGTGGACAAAAACAGGGGGATGTGTCTGCTCAAGTCATATTCCGCAAACATAACATTAATATTACTGTCAAGAAAAATTGGCACTCGAGTTCCGCTTTAAAATTACTTGCGCACAAATAAAAGGGGCCCGGTGGTCAAGTGGTTAGCGCGTCAACCTCACAGTGCAGCTCCGGCCTCCCTGTGTGGAATTTGCATGTTCTCCCCACACCTGGGTTTTCTCCGGGTACTCCGGTTTCCTCCCACATTCCAAAAACACGTATGGCAGGCTGATTGAACACTCTAAATCAGGGGTGTCAAACTAATTTCACATTGTGGGCCACAAACAGCCTCTGCAGATGTCAAGTGGGCTGGACCATTAAAATCATACCATACTCTGCTATCAATAACCAAAATAATGTGTTTCATTTGTTTTGGTCTAAACATGACCAAGAACATTCGGAAAATGTTGAAATTTAATGATCATATCTTTCACAAAACATTTCATGAAACACCTTAGATTTCCTTACACAAATGTGCAATTTACCTTTATCATTCACATATATGCATTGCAACTGATCCCACTGATTGTACAAAAGCACAAAACTTTAACAAGTAATTGGTATTGAAAAATATCATCATGCACTTTAAGATTAAACCAGATTTATAAAGAAAGGAATTTTTAAACCATTGACACGTGCATATAAAATCTAAATTTAATCCCTGCCTACACCTTACACACTAAGGAGAGTGCTATTAAATGTGTAAAGAATAAAGTATTCACATTCCTTGATAGCGTCTGCTGTGTTGGGTCTGTCTCAGTGACAGACTGAGGCTGCTATTGTCTTCTTCTCTGATCAAAACAATGTTGTCTTCTACTCTGATCAAAACAGTGTGTCCCCCTAGCGGATAATCCATGAATTCCACCTTATAAAAGACATAAAATATTCATTTCATGTCTTTGATGTATTTTTTCACTTTTAAATGATCACGCGGGCCTGATCGAACCCCCTTGGGGACCGGCCCGCGGGCCGTATGTTTGACACCGCATGCTCTAAATTGTCCCTTGGTGTTAGTGTGAGCGTGGATGGTTGTTCGTCTCTGTGTGCCCTGCGATTGGCTGGCAACCAGTTCAGGGTGTCCCCCGCCTACTGCCCGAAGACAGCTGGGATAGGCTCCAGCACGTCCCGCGACCCTTGTGAGGATAAAGCGGTTCACAGAACATCGATGGATGGACAAATAAAAGGATCAAGGGAAAGGTGCCTTTGCCTTTGAGAGAATGGCATTTGAACCTCTGAGTCGCATCTTCACGTGGTGAGAATGCATGGCAAAAACTTGGGCAACGTGACAGGAAGTATTCATACTAATTTATATTGCACACCATGAATAAATTGAACTAAGTGAGCTACAATGCTTCCTTGGAAATACTGCACTTCTTCTGTGAGACAACCAAATGCAGACACACTGTCAACTACATCCGACTCAAAGTCAGTTCGTTGTCATTTGTCTTTTTTTCTCTCTCCTTCTCAAGAGGTACAAATCTCTAACAGGTAGAACAGAATCCTGACTCAGTCAACTCCTACCATTTGATTTTCACAGACACTTAATTGATGTTGATAAGAAAGTTGTTTTGTTCCACCTGATGTCATTCAATTCCCATCAAAACGCCAGGTCACCTTGTCAGATGCCTCCAAATGTAAAGACTGCTTTGACAGCAGATTTTGCTCTTGAAGTCTCCACCGCAATGACCAATCCATCTGCAAATTTATCAACTCAGCAGTCATTAAGAACATTTATCGTACAACTATTTAAATTTTAATGCCCTGCTGTGTCTGATGGCGTGATACATCTTGTGTATCTTTGGATGGCTCTCCTCCTCTTTTGTTTTAGCACCAAGTTATACACCTTCATAGTCACCCCCTCATATGCCTGGATATAATTATTAAGAAACATATACAGGTATTATTTGGTGAAAATTACCTAAAATTCTCTGTCGTGCAACATTATGTGAAGAACACTTCTTGGACCGGCACCGCTTCATCCAACCAAATGAACCAAAATAATGAAAACATGACGCCTCTGACTTGTGCAACCGAAATGTATGCTATCTTTGTGGGAAAATTCTCCTCCCTTCTAGAATATTCCTTTCCTGTTTGCCTATCATGCAGTCTGAAAAGATTATTTTGTGGAGTCCCAACATAATTTGGTTTGTTCCTGCAGGTTAAGTGAACTCTAAATCAGGGGTGTCAAACTCATTTTGGTCGCGGGCCACATTGTAGTTTGGGTTTCTGACTGAGGGCAATTCCGACTGAAGTTCACAGTGTGAATTCAAATAAATGCATGGTTGTCTCATACACACAACAAATCTGTGAATGACTAGTTTTGAAATCAGAGAACCAATAATCTGTTTGTTCCAATGCTACATTAATTTGAACCCTTTCGTGTACCCTGTAACCTGATCACATGATAATCTGTCCACTGCAGTAACCGCTGTCCCTTAAAGGGTTAAAGAGGGCTTAGACACAAAGAAATGCTTACAATATGTCAATATTTTTTAAAAGTGAAGACAATTTGCATTTTCGGTATTTAGCAAGAAAAATGAAGTTGATGCAAACAATTTCCTTTGGTGGGCCAGATAGAATGATGTGGCGGGCCGGATTTGGCCCCCGGGCCTTGAATTTGACACTTGCACTCCAAATTGTCCCAAGGTGCGAATGATGGCTTGTCTATGTTTCATACCTGTCAACTTGTACGTTTTCCCCGTATTTTATACGTTTTTTTTATCATTTCAAATCATGTATGGCGTACAGGTATTACAACTTTTATACAGGGAAAAATAATAATTAAAAAAAACAATTGTGAACCGATCTCACAAAGACCATTTTGGCTCAAATCCAGATCGTCTCACCTGCTGGTAGCCAACGACAATGCCATCGTCAATCGCTACTATTGTCACAGCAAACCAGCAAAAGTAATCCTCAATCGTATATTTTTTTTCATCGCTGCGTACGGTCAGATTGATAAAGCATGATGTGCGCATGCGCGGTAAACCGTTGTACGGGTTTTTGTTGCTTTGTAAGGGGAATCGTAATCATTTATAAGGGCAGCTATTAGCCGAGGTTGACAGGTATGATGTTTGCCCTGCGATTGGCTGGCAACCAGTTCAGGGTGTTCTCCCGCCTATTGGCCAAAGACAGCATAGGCTCCAGCAAACAAGACCCCTCCCCCCTCCATTGATCGGAAAATGGATGGATGAATCTTCGCAAGCCTCCTTTTGATACATGATACAACTGACTGTCTTTTAACGTCTAAAAACCTGTTTTTCATCCCTACAAAATCTTCCTCCTTTCTCCTCTTTCTTTTGCGATTCTTCCTTTTTGTGCCTTTTGATGTTTCACTCTCAGACGTTTCAAATGAAAACACTCGCGGTCCAGCACCTGCTGGAGGTGCCGCGCACTGGAGCGCATCTCTCCGTGTGTGAGGGGACGCGGGGGCCAGGGGAGAAGGTGACGGTCACGGAGCAGGCGGGCGCGCAATCACTGAGGCTTCTTTGTAAACAGCTGTTAAAATGCATAAAATATTTCTCGGAATAATAATTTCCTCCCATCGTTTGGCGCTCGTCCTGGGAGCAGACGGAAAGAGAACAAGCGATATAAAAACTGGCAAATTAAATTTATATGAATTTCATTATACTCAAATCTAATTTCACATCGTTTTCACTCTAAAAGTGGATTCATCATAATGCCATATTTTGCTCATGAGAAAAAAGAAAGTTGTCAGGACCATTTTGTAAAATCACAAAGTCTGTTCCATGCACGCAGTATATTTCTCCGGCTGAACTGTAATAGAAAGTTTCCTCCACGGCTCGGGAAGGTAATCTAATCTCGACTCGTAATAATAATAATTAAAGTCATTATGAATTGTACAAGTAGGATACCCGCCTTTTAATTTTGAGTTAATTGATCAGAAGTAATCCTGCCTCTGCAAATGTATGACTCAATTGCCGAGGGTCTCCACAAATTATGTATATTGTTCTGTAGCTATTCATGTCCATTTAGATATTCAACAATGACAGACAGCTAAAATAACAGGAGAGTCAACACGTTTTACAGATCAAATGAAATGCAATTTATCATGAGTAAAGTTGCAAACACACGCGCTTCAACATATCTCGCTTTCAGTAAAAATGGAATGATTTCACCTACCTGAGGAGAGAAGGACAAGAACAATCCCAAAGAAAATCATGATGTTTTTGTTTGGAAGTTGACGGATTTCACCCACACGGACTTTAGCACTGGATTGAGTTGCGCTCTTTGCTGCTTCACTTGCACGGATGTGCGTCCCATCAACAGACACGACTGCGGTCAAACCAGCCTCCACTCGCAAAATCGAAGTCAAGTGAGCCGCCACTGCGATTGTCAATACTGTGCATTACGGTAATCTGTCGCCAGCGAGCGGCGGTGGCCACCTTCAAAATAAAAGAGACTCCACGCATGCATAAACGTCATTTGTTTGAGTGAAAAGAAATTAATTAAAATATAAAATAAGTACTTTCTTGGCTGTCGGGTAAAGATTCACAGAGGAAGAAAAGAACTCTCAGAACAGCACCAATAAGCGTTCTCAAGTGGAGATAGAAAATAAAGTTAATGGTGATTCTACATCAATTTCACTTGATATTAAAAATAATTCGAAATCAATTTCACTTAATATTTAAAAAAATCATTAAAACAATAAATCTGGGTGATTGCGCAACCACACCAGGTTGTCGACACACAAGGGCACGCCAGGTATAGAACCACAGTACTGGCATTCAGATCGAATGTTCCATTACCAATTAAAATGCCTCTCAAATATGACATTTTGAGCTCCTCTCCTGATTTCAAAAGATTCTTAAAATGAATTTCAGTTATCCCTTAATCAAACCAGACCCGTAGAACACTAGAGCAGTCCAGGTATCCAACCAGACCACCCTCATTTGGATCTGATGTCCTCTGAAAAGTGACAAGGTGGCCTGCGTTCTGACATGACCTGCATTCTAACATGTTGATCTTTTCGCCCATTTTTAGAACATCCTAAAAGAAGGAATACAGCACCCCGGCTCTCCACCCAGACCACCCTCGTCCGGATCCGATGTTGCATTTTGAAATAAAAGGCCTCTGAAAACTGGCATGTTGACCTGATTTCTGAAAAGTTGGCCTGAATGCCTCACATGTGGTTATTTTCGACCGTTTTTAAAAAATGATTGAAAAAAATACCTCTGTTATCCCGTGAGGGCCGTAGGTCTGGGGGTAACTGCAGCCCTCGGGCTATCTAACACCTGAAATTGGAAAATATGACCTTATTCCTGAAAAGTTGGCCTGAACGCCTAACATGTGGACATTTTTAACCGTTTTTAAAAAAATAATAAAAAAATAAACCTTCGTTATCCCGTGAGGGCTGTAGGTCTGGGGGTAACTAGAGCCCCTCAGCTATGGAACCCAATCACTCTGGTCCGAATCCGATGTTGCATTTGGGAATAAAAGGCCTCTGAAAAGGGAAAATGTGACCTTATAATAATAAGGGAAATAATGACCTTATCATAATAAGGGCATATTTTCCAAATTCAGAGGCCTTTACGGAGTTACCCCCAGACCTACAGCCCTCATGGGCCTAACATGGTGACATTTTCGACCGTTTTGAAAAAATTCTTAAAAAAATAAACCTTCGTTATCCCGTGGGGTCTGTAGGTCTGGTGATAACTAGAGCCCCCCGGCTATCCAACCTGACCACTCTGGTCCAAATCCTCCCCCAATTTTTACTTGCCTTCACTTTTGTCAATCTGTTTTTGTATTGTATGTTCTATATGTTCAATAAACGATAAAACAATAAAGTACTTATTTTATATTTTTATTAATTTCTTGTAACCCAAACAAATCATGTTTATGCATTAGTGGAGGCGCTTTTATTATGAAGGTGGCTAACGCCACTCGCGGGCGGCAGATTACCGTAATGCAGAGCACTGGCAATCCTAACTAACTAACTAACTAACAACTGTTAAAACTCTGCTTTAACATGATATCCTTATTAACATTTAAAGAAAACAAAAAATAAATAAATGTAGACAAGTGACAAAAAATAATAACTGCTTTTAGTCTACAAGAAAATATTCAAACAGTATCAATTTACCTGAAATTTAAACAAATATTAAATCCTCAGTGAAACATTTTTTGACCAGATTTAATTGAACTATATCAGGGGTGGCCAACCCGCGGTTCGCGAGCCGCATGCGACACGGACGGCTTCAGAACGTATTTGGCTTCCTGCCAACGAATCTTTGGCCCCTTAAATTCATGACTCCAGCCAGCGTCTCACGGGGAGTCGAAGCCCGATTAATGCGACGGAGAAAGTCCACACAGTTGTACCTCAGCTTGACATGCACGCCGCGGGTACAATTTAATGACTGGAGGGCGTCAAGCCAAACATCACCTTTTGCTTTTGTGAAGAATCACTTCCAAAAGCCTTGACGAAAACCAAACCGTTCCAAAAGCTAAAGCAATATTTTCTGCAGGACATAATAATTCAGTTAATCTGTTCAAGACAACACCAAACCACAAATTTCAAATAAAAATGTTGAATAACAAAAATTATTACGGTTTAACAGAGAGAAAGCCTTGTGAAATAAATATAAATGACTAAGCAAATGGCTCACTGAATATTAAAGGTCGCCTTTACCTTTCTTAAACGGATTGGGCCCTTTGACCATGTTATAGTCTCGTATTCCCCTTTAGAGTTAGAAATTTTATTTTAAGTGATATATATATATATATATATATATATATATATATATATATATATATTAGGGTGGTCCACATTTTCATGGCAAAAAAAAAAGTTTGTCGGATTCGTC